TATAACCGGGTTGGTCAACCACTGGTAGTTCACCCAGGGGAGTTGGATATAATCCCTGATTCCCAACCAACCAAACAGAGACGCATAAACCACACATACCTCCCTGGTGGGCACCTTGGACGTTTGACCCCGTCCGGAGAGCATACGATCCGATGAACTGGACACCGGCCCCCAATGGATTGCGGTTTTCACAAACGCTCCACTACCTTGCGGGTCAGGCTTTGGACAGCGGAAGGCTCCGGCTGTGGATTCCTCAAAACAATTCACCAACCACGGCAACCAGGCATTACTCGGCCTACATGCAACTTGTGGAATGCCTTTCTTTTTTATAAAAATTATTGTTCTACAATTTGTTTGGCACACATTCTGGCCTTAGACGTGTTTGAAATATATGTCATCCACCCCACCCACTTAAAGATACTTTAAAAAAACTCTGATGAACCGTTTAACCACTTGATATGATGTAAGAAAACTCACCAAGCGGATATAAAAATTAGTAAAATAGATCGAAGCGTTTGTTTGTGAATTCGCAGTGGACGTTGTTCAACAATCCAGCAGTTTTAGGGAAGCCTGAAGCTAATATTTTTATCGCTCAATATCCAAGTGAAATCTCCGTGCTCCGCCACGAGTTCTGTCAACAGTGAAAGTCTATATGATTCACCTCCTATTCTCCCAAGCCCCAACGGACGAGATAGTAATATGAAACCAGAAAGGTGTTTCTCCAGCTGGAGAATCCTCCATGGTGTTGAAATGAAAGCGGCCTAAAGACAAAACTATGAATTTTCTCCGCAGCAATCCGTCAGGTCTTGCTGTGCGGCTGCGGAACTCGACCACTGTTAATGATGATCAGAAGTCCTCAATCACTGGTGCCTAAGAATCATTCTGGGAGTACGACGGTGAGATCAGCTCACAAATGAAGTTGTCAGAAACCGAGGCTAATACAACGGCGGCGATTTCAACGCTTTGGTCGCATACTTCGTAAATCTGAGAACTAAAGCTGACTTCGCCCTGTCTCCTTGCCCAGAATGGTGTTGTCGACGCGGTGGATAGCTAAAAACCTGGATAAGCACGGTACGCAAGGATACCGAAATCCATTGCTCTCCTCTTCGTCCACGGCAGTGGCCGATTGAAGTAAATTTTGAAGCACAATCCACGATGCTCTTGCCGCTGACCGAAGAGCGAGGGCAGACGCAATATGGGATATCCATGACGCAGGCTTATTCTCTCCCCGGAGCCAGCCACCGTTGACGAAAAATCAGAAATATGATCAAAGATGACCGAACTTTTTCTGTGTCTTCCTATTTAGAACCTAATGATGTAACACCCGTTCATTAGCCTTCAACTATGTAATCACAAAAACACATGATGCACATTAATGAGCACAACTGTCAACTTAACCAACTGTGATCATTTTTCACCACAAGTGTTATTAACAAAACCTTAAGTACCCCAGTTACCCGAAAAAACGTACTACACCAAGAGCGTCACTGAAGCACTGATGATAAGCCTGTTCTGTTCCCGCAATCCGGCCATCGCCGTCCAACAAGGATGAAGCTTGAGCAAAGATATGAAGATCACAGGACTTTGCTCGAAAGGAATGTGTTGGGGTTCCCGCGATCCATGTGATCGATGCGTGCGTCTGTGACAGCTGCGTAAACCGTTCTGTTCGTCTTAAGGCACCTAATTTATCCATGTGCGACCACCTCGACTGAGTAGTAAACCGTTTCCTTTTTCGACTACGTCTGTGCGAATACGAATACCGAATGGACCGACACAGCATAACATTCATGATCGACCGTTTGGGAGCAGAGTATGATCTGGGAAATTCCAGTTTTTATAAGATCATCGTCGTTTCAGGTGGATTTGACCGCACGAATCGCTGTGATGAATCAGACAGTAACAACTTGTCGGTGCAAGTTGGCGATGGTGAATAACTTTGCGGATAATTCTGAATGCTTCCATAATCCCGGTACCATAGAAAACTTTCAGTCAATATCGAGGTCTGTTTGTGCTTATTATCCTTAATGCCGATCGATCGTTCCCTTTCTTACTGGATATAAGTAATGAAAATGACAGTGATCCAGGAAGCGCGCGATCGACAAATAAGTCAAATTAATTCAATAACCCTTAAAAAGACGTACGAAGCGCTATTCTCGTCTTTGAGACCTATATGATATGACGCTTGGAACGAACAGTCCCAGAGACTGATTCGGAGCTTCCTTGTGTGACCCACGGGAAATTTAGATGTGTTCGTTTTGAGCTTCGGAGATCCCAAACCTACACAGTATACTGATCAGTTCATGTTCAATCGT